TGAATATTTTATTAATTTTTCTTGCACGGAGAAAAATGGAAAACTAATGATAATTACACTTATTTGGTTAAAAAAGACATTATTTGATTCAAAAACTGTTTATTTGTTTCAAAGAAATGTTTTTTTCAAATTAAAGAACTATTTCTTTGACCTTAAATCAATTATAAAATTTTCTTGATTTAATGAACAAATTTTTTGGATTCAAAAATATTTATTTAATTGAAATCTATTTATTTATTTCAAGGAAATTTTCCTTTTTCAATTAAAAAATTATTTCTTTGAACCTGTAGCAAAGAATAAATTTTTTTGATTTAAAGAACAAATTAATTGAATTCAAAGAAAATCTTTGTAAAATCTTTGTAAAAAAAAATTATTATAAATTGGAAGAAATAGTCAAATAGAAATTAATAACAAAATATTTTTATTAGTTTGACATCAAGCTAAATAATTAGTAAATATATCTATCAGATAATTTTAACAAGAAAATATTTTCTATGAAATTCGTTATTTTTCACTAATTGAAATTTAGAGTCGTTTTGTTTTCTTATCTTTCGAGAAATACATATATGAAAATAAAAAATGTCACTCAAAATACATCTACTGCAATTGTTTCGAAGTAATATTTTTTTTCTCCTCTATTCATAGTGTAAAAACATAACAACGTATTTTGTAATTAACATTTTTGCATGAAAAACCTGTTTTTATTACAAAAACAGAAATGAAGTCGCGTGGAACGTAGAATTCACTATAGAGAATGCTCAATGTACAGCACGAGGTACTCGTTTTAATGAACACGTAAAAAAATGAAAGTAAATTATCAATTTTTTTAATTTCAATAATATAGGTAGTTCAAATTTCAAAAACTGACCACAAAAATAATAACAAAATTTTCTACAAATTCTGTATCAATTTGAAAATTAACTTTTTACGACGAAAACGAAAATTTATTTGATTCATATAACCGACGACGAGTTGTCTATTATTTAATTAATATTTATACTTGATTCAAATAATTTTTATTTACGTCAATTAATTTGCTTCAAATACTGAATTTATTGCATCAAAAACTAAAATTTTTGGTTCTAATAAAATTTATTTGAATTCAGTAAAAATTAATTTAATTCAAGTAAATATTATTTGATTCAAATAAATATTCATTTTGATAATCGAAAAGTTATCGATCATTTGAATCAAATAAGTTTTTCTTTCAGTGTATTATAAGAAATAATAATCTAAATTAATGTAAATAAAATAGTTTTGTTAAAATAATTTTTCGTTAGAATAATTATTCATTAAAAAAAGATAATAATAATAATAATAATAATAATTATTTATTTATTAAAGAATAATAATAATTATTATTATTTATTTATTTATTAAAGAATAACCATAATTTTTTGTTAGAATAATTTTTCGTTAAAAAAAGTTTTTTTTCAATGTCTAAAAACAATGGAGAAATTAAAAAATTGTCGAAAATTGGAAATGAAAAGTAAAATTATATAAAAGCAAAATTTATTTGAAGTATCAATTTCTTCAAGATTCTAATGACACGAACAATTTACACAAATACGTTATGTGAACCGCATGTGCTTCAGCTTTATCGTTCATTCATGTAAATTCTATCGCACAGTTTGCGGGTGTGTCAATGACGTCAGAGAAAATCAATGGCAAGTATACAGCCTGAGAAACGGAAGATGCGAATATGATGACAAGGACATGACTTTGAACTATATAGAACATTATAAAAATACTCATTTTTATTTTTTCAATAAATATTAAATATCGAATATAAATTTAAATAAATGTCCTATATTTATATCAACCTTTCTAAAAATCTCTATTTTGACTTTTATTTATTTTTTTTAATTTTATTTTATTAATTTCTTTCCATCACTAAATTTAATTCAAGTTCAAATTAACACTTAATGAAAGAAATTTTCGTTAAAAGAAAAATAAAATACTTTAATTGTCCAAGTAAGCATTAAAAATAGACGCAATCATTGTCCCATTTATTGAACGATTGTGGAATCGCAATACATAGTTTATAGGAAAAAAAAGACGCACTTAAGAGAATGGAACGTTAAGTGGTAATTAAAAATAATTCACGCAATTCTATGAATTTCTTGACTAATCATTGTTATTGAAAGAAAGCCCAATTTTTTTATCGATTAAACGGAAATAATTTTTTTATATATTCGAATATTAAAGAAGCTAATTTATTCCATATAAAAAGAAATCTAAACTTGAAAAATGTTTGTTTTTCTCGAATTTGTGTTTAATTTTTTTTTTCTTTGTAATTTTCTTATAAAACGGAAACATAAATTACCGATTATGATATAAAGAAGCGTAGTGATAATTTTTATCGAGAAAAGTTTAATAATATGAAAAAAAATATTAGTTGTTTTGCTTACAGTTCTTTCTAATTCCAATTTATTGTAAATTACAGTGGAAAAAAATTTATTTGATTCAAAAAACTGATTATTATATTGAAATTGAATATTAACATCTAGTATTAAATAAATATTTACTTGAATTAAATAATTTTTACTTAAATCAAGTAAATTTTATTTGAACTAAAAATTTTAGTATTTGATGCAATAATTTCAGTATTTGAAGCAAATTAATTGACTTAAATAAACATTATTTGATTCAAGTAAATGTTTAATTGACAATAGACAAGTTAACGTTTATTTGAATCTAATAAATTCTTTTTTCAGTATTTTTTTTCTACAAAATTTTTATTTGAGTCCTCAAGTTTCCATTTTTAATTTCGATTCAGTTCAGAAAAAAGACAGTGACCTACATTAAATTTAAATTTTCTTCACGAAACATAATTTATACTTTGATTAAAAAAGTTCATTCACAGTTTTGTGTACAAATTCGCAATACCTCACAGCAAGTTAGAACCATTATTCACCCAGAAAAAAATTTATTTCAAACAAATATGATTTATTTGAGTTAAAAAAATTTTTTTGTCTCACCTACTAAATTATTTCTTTCTTTTAAATATTATTCAAATAATTTCTATTTAATAATCGTAAGAAAATTAAAAAATCAAAAAAATAATCGAATAAAGTAATAAAAATAAAAAATCGAAAAAATAATCGAATAAAATTATAAAAATAAAAAATCGAAATAATAATCGAATAAAAATAAAAAATAGTCGAATAAAATTATTTCATACAAATAAATTTTTATTTGTATCAAACGAAATTTATTCGAAACAAATAAAAAGTTCAGTAGACTCTGATTCAAACGTATGTTTTTTCTGCCTGTTACCTAACTCTTATTACGATAATTGCAATATATTTCTATTATTCAAAAACCACTCACCATTTATTCCAAAAAATTCCAAAATTCCAAAAATTTGCAGAATTGATCAAAGAAATGAAAATCTGGAACAAAAACGAAAAAAAAATTAAATTAGTATCGAAATACGTAAAAATTAATAAAATGAAATGACGAAATAAATTTATGATCGCATTGAACTGTTATATTGAGTAAATAACAGTAGTTTGATAAAAATATTCAACAGGCAAAATAAAAGGAAAGAATTAAGGAAAACTAATTTTTAAAATCGATAAAAAGAAAGATTACAATATTGTCTAAGCTCATTAACATAGATATTCAAAGTTTACTCTGGGGAAACATTATAACCAGTAGCCATAGGAAAAACTGGTTTTCATGAATAAAATGAGTATATAGCGCGAATCTCATGTTCATTCCACCAATTTCCAAGAATTCGATCACGTTTATCATAAAGCACGTGACTTATTACAAGATGAATCATAAATACTATTTCGTAAATTGATTGTCATTAAGAAATTTTATGTTAATTTCAAAGTAACATTAAAAATTCGCCAATTTTATTCTTTCAATGTAAATTATGTTTTATCAATTTTATCCAATTTTTTTTTTTATTAAACTATTTCAATTTTTTATTATTTAATAAACAATTTTATTTTCATGTTTTTATTTATTATTTAAAACTGTTTTTATTTCCATAATTTTATTTACTATTTATAAACTATTTGACTTTCATTTTTTATTTTCTTTTTTTTTGTTCACTATTTTCAAACTATTTCATTTATTTATTATATACAAACTATTGAAATATAATTTCAATAATATAAAATATCAAAAACTGTAAATGAATTCTTAAAAGAAATTGAACGAATTGAAATTTGAGAATCGATAACATTAAAAAAGAATTGCAACATAAATGATTTACTTTTTTCATTTTTCTTTTCAAAAAATTAATGTTTTAAACCTTCACTGAAATAAAAATAAAATATTTTTCTCTAAACCATTTGCCTTGAGGTGTGTTTCCTGTTATAAATGTACAAAAGTTTTAGAAACTTTGTCTTGTATTATTTCCTTGACATGAAAAAGTATTTAATACTATTTTGTATACTCAAAAAACTAAAAATAAATTATTAAAGATTATTTTTAGTTACAATATACAAACATGAATAAAATATTCAAAAACTTTTATTTTAAATAACTAAATAAATTGTAAGTTTAACATTTAACTATTTGTTTTTAATACAAAAATTATTTCAATACACAAGTTATTTATTTACATCAAATTATTTAATTCCAATTCACACGAAATTTTTCTAATTCAAAAAAAAAATTATTTGCGTCTACTAAATATTTCTATTTGAGAACAGCCAAGTACAAATAGAATTGAACAAAATATTTTCCCTTTCACAATGAGAAAATCCAGATAATACACTCAAATCTCCTTAGAAAATGAAGTAAAGCTAGAGATGAACTTTGTGAATCTGTATTCTTCGAAACATGACCGGATGTTACTTCTTAAAAAGCAGATAATACTCATAGCCACTGACATTTTAAGGAATCTATTACCAAGAAAAAAAACAGTATTTAAAATATTCCACAAAAAAAGAAAGAAAGAAAAAGATGATCTAATTTAAATGAAAGTCTCTATGGAGTAAAATGTGGAGTAACCATTAATATTATTTTTTTACTTTCAGATAAGGGAGATCTGTAAAGATCTAATCTTGACTGATAAACAATGTCGGAAAATTATGGAAAACCTGACAGAGGACATAAATAAGGGATTGTCAAAGGATAGGCATGATGAAGCTGTTGTCAAATGTTATACAACTTATGTTCAAGACCTTCCCAATGGCACAGGTGAGTTTTTCTTTTCTCACCATGAAAAATATTATTCATCTTCATGTGATCAAAAAACGGAATTATTAATTTTCGTAATTAGTTATTCAGCTTAAAAAAATTTCTTTGAAAAAAAAATAAATCTTTATCACCAAAAGAATTAGTTATTTTTTCCACTGAAAGAAATTACAGGGTTGCCACGCTTTTGCTCTTTTCAAATTCCCTGACTTTTCCAGGTTTTTAAAACGAAAATTATTCAAAAACGTCAATAACTTCATTTTTAAATAAATATTTAATTATTGTTTTTTTTATAGAAATTAAGATATTCAAAAATTTGAAATTCAATAACTAAGAATATTATTATAAAACATGAAGATATCGATCACTCCGAGTCTTCGACTCGGAGTAATCGCTTTCTTCATGTTTTATAATAATTAAAACTTGCTACTTTGTTACTGTAACTTCTTCAAAAATTATTTTCATTATTACGATTATTCATTTCTAGAATTCTTAACTAAAATTATTCTTCTTTAAGTCGATTTTTTTAAATAATTTTTGAAAAAGTTCTTTGTGAATTTTCAAATTATTTTGTTTAAAATTTAATTTTACGAAATTTCGATTATTCTGACATTTTTCAATTAAATATATTAGAAATTAAAAACTTCAAATAATTAAAAAAAAATCCATTAAACTTATTGAGAAAAATTAATTCTATAGAATTCTTAATTAAAAGTATGAAAAGTTCAAAGATTTTAATTTGAAATTCATTTTTAAATCAATATTTATATTAGAATATTCTACGATAATTAAATTATTTAACTATAAAAATAAATATTTTATTAAACAATTGAATGTTTCTTAAAATTGAATTATCTTGACAAATTTTAATAAAATTTTTAAGAATAATTGCATTTTTCGAGAAATTTGATGAAAATTGTATTAAAAATAATTGAAAAATTTTGCCAAGAATTTTATTAAAAGTTTTGAAAATAATTGAATTTTGGAAAAAAAAATTTATTATTTATAAAGATAATTGAAATTTTGACGATAATTTTTTTAAACTTTAGACCATAATAATTGAATTTCTACGAAGAATTTTATTACTTTTGAAAATAATTGAATTGTTACGCAAAGAATTGCATTAAAACTTTTAAAAATAATTTTATTTTTTAAAGAAATTTAATTCAAAATTCATTGAAAATAACACTTAAATTCTAATAAATAAATTGTAGCAAAAGTTATTAAAATAATTAAATTTCTTTGATAAATTTTAATAAAATTTTTAAGAATAATAACTTTTTTCCAGGAATTCTATTAAAATTATATTAAAAATAATTGAAATTCAGCATTGAGTTTTATTATTTATGAAAATAATTGAATAATTTATGAAAATAATTTGTAAATAATTGAATTTCTGTGAAATTTTTATTATTTATGAAAATAATTAAATGTTTGCGTAGAATTTTATTAAAATTCCTGAAAACAATAGAATTTCTGGGAAGAATTTTAATATTTATCTAGACAATTGATTTCTTTTTAAGAATTGCGTTAAAATTTTGTAAATAATATTAAATACAATATTAAAAAATTCAACTAATTTCAACAGAATTGAAATTAAAATTGTATTAAAAATAATTGAAACTCTGTGAAATTTTAATTATTTATCGACATAATTAAATGTTTGCTTAGAATTTTATTAAAATAGTAAATATTTAAAATCATTGAATTAAGGAAAATTTTTGTTAATAATTAAAATTTTCACAAGAATTTTATTAAAAATTTTTGAAAATAATTGAATTTTGAAGAAAAATTTTTTTATTTATTAAGGTAATAATTGGCATTTTTTCGAGATTTTTTTTGTAAATTTTGAAAATAATTGAATTTCTGAGAAGAACTTTACTACTTTTGAAAATAATTGAATTTCTGCAATCATTATTTGTAACTGCTTCAAAATCCAATTTGTTTGAGTGTTTTTAACTGAAATTCTTCTATAAATCCATTATTTTTAATAATCAATTAAACATATATTACAAAATTTAACTGATTTCAGATGAATTTTAGTTAAAAATTTTTTTTAAATCTAAGTTTTTTTATATTTCTAATTAAATTCATTCAAAACTGAAATTTTACAAAATTTTAAATCAAAATCTTTTAAAGTTAATCTACTTATGAAAATAGTAGTCGCAATTCTTTTAAAATTGAATTAATTTTGAAATATTTAAGCGAAATTAAATTTCTAGAATAAACACAGTAACTTTAAAAAACAACAATTTTCCAGGATTTCGATCAAAATTCCGACTTTTTCAGGTTTTTTCAAAGTTTATAAAATTCCCTGACATTTCCTGGAAGCAAAATTCCAAAAAAAATTTGATTTTCGAATTTGATTTTTCTTTACAGAAAAGGGTAACTTCCTAGCCTTGGACTTGGGTGGAACAAATTTCCGAGTACTTTTGATCACACTAGACGGACAAAATTTCGATATGAAGAGTAAAATTTACGCCATACCACAGAGCCTAATGTTGGGAACTGGTACTCAGTTGTTTGATCACATCGCACAGTGTTTGGCACTTTTCGTTAAGGATCTCAAACTTGAGAATGAAGTTCTACCTCTTGGATTTACATTTAGTTTTCCATTGGTGCAAGAGGGCCTCACAGAAGGAAGACTCGTGAGGTGGACAAAGGGTTTTAATTGCAGTGGAGTCGTTGGCGAGGATGTTGTCGCTCTACTAGAAGCGGCCATCGAAAGGAGAAATGTAAGCAAATTAATTATTACAAATTTTTTTTCTATAACGAAGAAATTAATTACATTCTAACTCTAACTCTAACTCTAACTCTAACTCTAACTCTAACTCTAACTCTAACTCTAACTCTAACTCTAACTCTAACTCTAATTTTAACTCTAACTCTATTTCTAAATCTAATTTTAACTCTAACTCTATTTCTAAATTACACTCTTAAATCTGAACCAGAGAAAATTTTACTGATTTTAATTCAGTGGACAAGTTTTCTTTAATTACTCAGTGAAATTTCATTGTGAGAATTAGTAAAAACTACTGATTCTGAGTAAAATTCCACTGATTTAGAAAAAAAGTCGTCCACTGAAATTAGAAAATTTTCATTGATTCAGATTTAGAGTGTATTACGAACAAATTACGTAGTAATTAACGTTAATTATCGTAATTAGCAGTAAATTTTTTCTAACCAATAATTTTCTGATAAAAGAGATTTTCAACTTTCTTTATTTTATCCCTCAGGATGTCAAGATTGACGTTTGTGCCATTTTGAACGACACCACTGGTACCTTAATGTCCTGTGCTTGGAAAAACAAAAATTGTCGCATTGGACTTATTCTTGGTAAAGAAATAATTTTTCTTATCAAAAGTTTTCCTATCGAAATTCAAACAATTTGATAATTTTCACACTCGAGTTTTACATCCACTCAATAATTAAAATATAATGAAAGAACTTTTCAATCTCGAACATTTGAATTTCAATATTATTATATTATATGTTCAAGTAATTTTAATCCAAAAATACTGAAATAATTCATGATATCCAAACATACATTGAAAAAAAAAAAAAATTTTGATCCAAATAATCCTTTATTTGACAAATGTTTATCAAATAAATATTTATTTGAATCCAATAAAATCCAATAATATTTACTTTCAAACAATATTTACACTACTGGAAAGAAATTTAATTGATTCAAATAACCGATTAATTGTCTATTGCCAAATAAATATTTATTTGAATCAAATAATTTGTCATTAATTCAAATAAATTGTATTAAAACCAATAATTTAAGTATTTAAAGTAAATTAATCGATTTAAATAAAAATTTTTTGATTTAACATGGACAGAAAATTTTATTTGTAATAACGATAAATTTCGCTAGAATAGCGAAAGTTTTAACTGAAATAATTAAAAATTTTGCTAATACAATGAAAATTGTAGTTGTTCCAGCAAAATTTTTTTTTTCGTGAATTAAATATTTAATTGATAATAGTCAAGTAATCGGTTATTTGAATCAAATAAATTTGTGTTTTCAGTGTACTATTCAAATAATTTTTATTGAAATCAAATACATTTTTTTAAACCAATTTCAGTATTCAAAACAAATACTATTTAATTGGCTTAAACAAAAGTTATTTCATATAAATAAATAAATAGTTATTTGCTAAATAGATTTATTTGAATCAAATAATAATAAAACTCGAATCAAAAAATTTTCAATTAAATCAAATAAATTGTATTTGAACAGTTAATTATTTCCCTAAAATTCTTAACGTTTAAATAAACGAAATTTATTATTATTAATTAAAATAAAAAAATTAAATTAAATTAAACTTAAATAATTTTATTAATTAAATTTATTATTATTAATTTATTATTATTTTTTTTATTTATTTTTCTTCAAATCAAAATTGTATTGCAACAATATTGCGTCACGTATTAAGAAAGTAAATTACAATGATTCTAAAAGTTTAATTTTGTATTTGCTTTTACGACGGTTAGTAATTTTTTGAAAATATTTATATTAGCACAAGACTCCGTTCATTTGAATAATTTGGAACTTGTGAATCCTTAATAATAATTTCAGTATTTAAAGAAAATAATATTTAATTGACGCAAATAAAAGTTACTTGAAACAATTAAATATTTCTTTGATAGTAAAAAATTTTTGTTTATCTTTTATTTTTATTTTGATATTGGTAATATGATTTAAATCCAAAAAACTCAATTTTTATTTCTAAATTGTTATTGAACCAATAATTTTATTCCCCTAAAATTCTGAACGTTCAAATAAACAAAATTTATTTATTTCTTCTTCGAATAAAAAATTTTATTGCAATAATATTACATCACGTATTGAAAAAACAAATCATAATGATTCTAAATGTTTAATTGTGCTTTTTCTTAAAGTCAGTAATTTTTTTAAATATTCATTTTGGAGCAAAATTCTGTTCATTTGAACGTTCAAAATTTGTAGATACTTCGGTAGATACTTCGGTATTTAAAGCAAATACTATTTATTTGACTGAAATGTAAGTTACTTGATAAAAATAAATATTTGATTGATAAAAGTAAATATTTAATCAATAGCAATAAATATTTATTTAATAGAAATAAGTACTTGATTGATATAAATAAAAATTTGATTGATGGAAATAAATATTTGATTGATAGAAATCAAAATTTCATTGATAGAAATAAATATTTGATTGACAGAAATAAATAATTATTTGATAATAGACGAATAATCGCTTATTTCAATTAAATAAATTTCCTCTCACCGCAATGGAAATGAAGTAATAACTAACGACAATTGTTTATTTATTATAGGAACCGGAAGCAACGCCTGTTACGTGGAGAAGACACAAAATACAAAACGTGCAATGCCTGGAAAATACTCACAGAACAAACCAGACATGCTAGTAAATATGGAATGGGGTGCATTTGGCGAGAGGAATACTCTCGACTTTTGTCTCACCGAATTCGACAGGGATGTTGATCAGAATTCAATTAATCCCGGAAAACAAATTTTCGAGAAAATGATCTCTGGCATGTATATGGGAGAATTGGCCAGATTAGTTCTAGAAAAACTCGTCAACAATGGTCTTCTATTCGGTGGAAAATGTCCCAGTGAACTCAGAAAACGGGGACAATTCTTCACTAAATACGTATCAGAAATTGAAAAGTGAGTATTTTTTTAAGTAATTAAAAATTTATTCTTTATTTTCTAATTACTTGATTTACTAAGTACTCCTAATTTTAAAACTAAATACTAATTCTTCAAAATACAGTGAAACCTGTCGAAATACAACTCGATTTTTGAAAATTTTTATTACAGTAAACAGTCCTTGAAAAATTGTTTTATAATTTAATTTTGTATTTTTACAATATTCTGGAACTAAGTGAAAATAATTCTTCTTAGACATTTTTGAATACAAAAAAATTTTTTAAATACAGTTGCATTCCGACAGGTTCGACTGTACGAAAATAAAAAAATCGTAGTTGAATTTACAATTAAATAAAGGGGAAAATACTATCACTGAAAAAAATTTATTTGATTCAAATAAACAATTACTTATCTACTTTCCTACTTTTTAACGTTTTTAACCAAAAGTCTCAGAAAAATATTGTTTTATTCTTTTTGGTTTCGTGAAAAAAAATATTTTTCGACGCTCAGCGTCGATGCCCACTTCAAGGGTCTTTTACTTGAATCAAATAATTTTTTTTCAATCAAACAAAATTGTATTTGAAGCAAATACCATTGAATTGACTTAAATGAAAATTATTTGCTACAAATTAAAAATATTTGATACAAATAAATATTTATTTTAGAATTGTTTATTGGAATCAAATAAATGTTGTTTTCAGTAATAAGTAAATTTTCAAAATACTAAAGTGGAAAATTTTTAATTTTTAGCGACCCGAAGGGAAAATACACCAACTGCCGGGAGGTTTTAGCGGAAATTGGAGTTAGAAATGCCAGTGATCAAGACTGTGAGAATGTGAGATATGTTTGTTCGGTTGTATCAAGGAGAGCGGCACATCTTGCAAGTTCGGGAACAGCTGCCGTTCTTAATAAAATAGGAGAAGAAAATGTTACCGTCGGTGTTGACGGTTCCGTTTACAGATTTCATCCTCACTTCCACGATCTCATGACGGAGAAAATTAGCCAATTACAAAACCATAAGGTACTATTATTTTTTTCACCGCAATTAATAATAGAAACAACAACGAAACAAATTCAAATATTTTTTTAAATTATTAAATATTTTTTTTTCATTATATTATTAAAAAAAGAAATATCGAATTTTCAAAAATTTCCAGACAGTCAATTTTTAACATTATTTTTTATCAAGTTCAGAAAATGTACAATAAATTCTGTAAATTTGAATTAGTTTTTTACTAAAACAATTTTTTTACTCAAACAAATTTACTAATTTGAATAATTAGTCTCTGAATTTATGCTTTTTAATTAGTAAATTTTACTAATAAAAATAATAATCTCTACTAATTTATAAGTAAAATTTTCTAATTCAGAAGCAAAAAAAGTCACTAATTGAAATTTGTAAATATTTTTATTAATTCAAATTTAGAGAGTTGATTATAAATTTTCTGGACTTAATCAAAAATAATGTTAAAAATTGACTGTCTGGAAATTTTTGAAAATTCGAGATTTCTTTTTCTAATTTAGTAATTTCTACTAATTTATAAGTAAAGTTTACCAATTCAAAAGCAAAAAGTCAATTTTCTTGAAGAAAAGATTTTCTATTTTAATTTATGTACTTTTTCCCAACATTTTTTTTGCATTGTTTTATGCTCCAAAAATTCGGAACGTTCAAATGAATGAAATGCTTTTTCAATATAAATATTTTCAAAAATTATTAACAGCAGTGGAAATTAGAATTGCAAATTAAACAAATTTCAATTTTTATCAATTATTTTTTAATAACTGAAACAATATTAATTATATAATAGAATTTGAAATTGAAAAGAAGAAAAATAAATTTTGTTCTCTTTGAACGTTAAGAACTTATGTCTCTCATGTTTTGAACGTTCTAATGAATCAAATTTATTTATTTCATTTTCAAAATCAATTTTTATTGTAATAATAATAGGCCTTTATTTAAAAAATAATTTATGTTTCAAAATATTTAATTTATGTTTTTCATTGTTTATTTAGTGAGTAATGTATAAAAATATTTATATTGAAAACATTTTGTTCGTTTAAATGTTCAGAATTTTTTTAACAAAAAAACTTTGAGAACACCAATGTTTCTTGATCAACAAAAAAGAAAATTGAATTCAACAAAAAAAAAATTGTTTTTCTTTAAGCGAAAATTTAAACAAATTGCAGGGTTGACAGAATTTTAGGGAAATCAGGGAAAAATCAGGAAATTTTATCAAAAGTACTGGAAAAAGTATTACATTTTTAGAATTGTATAAAAAATTAAAATTAAATTTAAACTTAATTTAAGGAAAAAGTCAGCAAATTTTATCAAAAGTACTGGAAAAGTATTAAATTTTTAGAATTATATAAAAACTTTTGGTCTTAGGTGTCCACTAACTTTTGGAAATATTAAAAACAATTAATTCTTGAATTTTTTATCTATTCACCTCATACACTGAAAAAAAAATTTATTTGATTCAAATAGAAGATTACTTGTCTATTATCAAAAAAATATTTACTTGAATAAAATAATTTTTATTTAATTTAAGTCAATTAATTTGCTTCAAATACCGAAATTATTGGTTCAAATACAATAATTATTTGATTTAAGCAAAAATTATTTTATTCAAGTAAATATTTATTAGATAATAGTCAAGTAATTTATTATTTAAATTAAAAAAATTTTTGGTTCAGTGTATAAATTAAAATAAACAAATATAATAAATAAATAAATTGAAATGTCCATTAATTTTAATTGAAAAATTAAAATTTTCTATTTCTAACTGTATAATTATGAACTTTACAGAATATAAAATTGAATTTGTTTCAGGTAACTTAATTCTTTAAACTTTCATAAAATTATTATTCATGAATTAATTAGGGAAAAAATTTACTTAAAAATTCAAAACATAATTGAATTTTGCAATTTATGTTCGTAATTTTTATAAATAATTGAATTTCAGACAGTTCTATAAATTGAATGTTTTGAAAATTTTAATTCCTGCAAACAAAATTTTTTTTAAATAAAATAACCGATTACATACTTGTTTATTATAAAATAAATATTTACTTCAATCAAATAATTTTGATTTAAATAAAAATTTTTTGATTCCAGTAAATATTTAATTGATAATAATTAAGTAAACTGTTATTTGAATCAAATAAATTTGGTTTCAAATTTAGTTTGAAAAAAATTATTAATTTTTCGAATATTTTCACAATTTTTAATATTCTATCTGAAAATCAGGGGAAAATAAACTGAAATTTTTGTGGCAACCCTCGTTTGTAAATTTACAAATGAATTTACTTTTGCTTAAGCAAAAGAAATTTAAATAGAAATTTTTACATAAATATATAATAAATTATTTTCGAATATCTTCAAAGTAGAAAAATATTTCATCAATCAAATAATAAATAACACGCGATAAAAATGAAAATAAAAAAAATATTTTCTTTTCAGTTCGACCTGATGCTTTCCGAAGACGGTAGTGGTCGTGGTGCAGCACTTGTCGCTGCGGTAGCATCACAAAAACGGTGAAGATAACAACGGAGCCATATTATCCACATTAGAATAAAATTAAATGTATAATTAAATACAAATTGATACACTGTTGTACATATAGCACAAAAGAAATTCGTAGCCAATGCGGGCTAGTCCCAATTAAATAGCTGATTGTAAATTAAAATTTACTATATATAAATTACTATATATAAATAATATAAACACGACCTCGAATCTATTTCGACTAATTCAAAAAATCTGCTTTGTTCGATTCAATTAACGAAAATTGATCGAAAATCGCGTTCTCAATATTTTTGAAGGTCCTCGACACAATTTATTAACTATTTTGTGCTCTCAACCTTCAAATATTTACATGTTTCGTGTTCTTTTAACTATTTTGATACGAATCGTGGGTGTAAAAAAAAAACAAAAACCAACGCAATCTCGCACTATTATAAAATAATAATTTATTAAATAATTATTATAGAATCAACGAAAGTATCACCACATAATATTATAAAAATTATATTAGTGATTTTCTGCAAAAACATTTTGGGCAATAAATACTGCCGCGAGAGCACTACAAAAGAAAAAGAAAAAAAAGAGCAGTGCTCTTTAATTGCTTTGCAAAAATAAAATTCTTTTTGTAAATTATATATATTATATAATAGCGCGCAATTAAAACGATTTATTCTACTATATAGAAAAAAAAGTGAAAATGGAATCGAAAACAAATTTTTAAAAAAGACATTGCCTATTTGTACAGCTAAAAATCAACATCTATTTATGAGAAATGATTTTTTTATTGTTAAATAATAATATAATAATACAATAACTATTATTATAATTATTATTGTTTCTAGTTTCGAACGTTCAAATGAACATTTTTATTTTATTTTTAAATTCTATTTACAAAATACTCTTTTTTACCTAACTGTTTTCTAAAAATGTAGTTTTTAACTAAATGTTGAATAAATAAATTTTGTTCTTTTAAATTTTCATTAATTTTTCAAACTCTTTGAGTAAAAAGAATATTTCCTTCATTTGAGCATTCGAAACTTTAGGAAAGTTTACTATTCAATAACGCGCGTAAATTGAAACGAAAAATTGTTTCATTTATATAGGAAAAAGAAAATAATAGTCGAGGCAGATATTATTAATATAAAAAAGATATAAATATATATATATTTAAGCATTATAAGTAAAATAGACAGTTACGCAGTCTACTTGAAATTTTTAGGACTTGGACGATTGAACTTCTTTATTTTCTTTCTTCTTGGATTAATTCCAAGAAACAAGTTCGATCAAACTTCCGGGTGCGATTTAAATTTATTGGAGATTATTGTGTGTAAATAGAAGGAATGTGTGACAGATTGTTTGATGTCAAAAATTTGAAGTATTATTTACCTCAAAAAAATTAAAAAAAAAAAAAAAAATAGAAATTGTGAAATTCAGAAAACAAAAATAAATGAGTCAATTTGAATGAATGTATATTACTTGCAAGAGGACGATGAAAAATTTCACTTTAATTTTGAAGAATATTGCATATATAGATCTTATAAAAATTGAATGAACAAAGATTTATTCGAACGTACAAAGATTTATTCAATTTCCTTAATTCCTTTCCGTTTTTCAAACGATTTTTAAAATCAACGAATTTCTCGAATTTTATATTCGAAAAGTCGAATTAAAAAAAAAATTGATGACTCGACTAGTTTGGTGGCCTACAGGTGTTTTTATCTCATTTCTCTTCTTCTCATATTTTATGTGAGAATATCAAAAGGAAAAGTTCTATTTGGCAAAAGGAAGAAATATTTTTTTGCTTCTGAAAATTCATAAATTCGTTCAAAAATATAATCTCGAGATTCCAGAATTAAAAAGATGAGAGAAAAAAAGGAAAAAAGACGTAAATCGAATGAATGTAAATGAAATTAGAAAGTTTCGAATACTAGTCAACAGATCTGATAAGTTTTAACTAAAAATACAATTAGGCACATCCAACGTGACTTTATAATGAGTATAAACTAAGAAAGGAGAGGGAATCGCTCGCAGTAAAGGGACGATAAACTCGACGTTTACTACATTCTTCATTATTGTCATTCAGATAAGATGAAGTACAAGTTAAGTGAAGAAAATATCAGTGAAGAAGCTCAAGATAATATTACAAATATTCTGTTATTCTCAATTTCTACGTTCTTCCACAAAACAATAATTTTTCCCTTTCATCATGTTTCGTCGTTTGCGTAAATTTAAGCGGGTGAGTACACCTTGAAAAGTAGACAATAATTCTCTGGGGGAAAAAGAAAAAAGAAACCCGAAAGAAGACGTTCTTTTATTACTGTCCATAGAGCATTAAAAATCGTACGTCTTCAAAAAAAAAGAAGAAATTTTGCTTCTAGAATTTCAAAACAGACTTGGTATTATTACGCAAAAAATATATTATTATAATGGAGAATTGAAGAAGGTACAAAAACTTCTATTTTATACAAAGAGTCATATGTACTCAAAGAGATAAGAATTATATACAGGTGCTACAAGATATACCGATTAAATACTTTCGACGATATAAAAAATTATTTTTCTTCTTTTTTTTTTAAAAAAAAACTTCATCATTATGATATTCATCACGTTTTATACATTTAAGACTATAAATGTTGTTAATTATGTACACGTTGAGAATGCAAAATAAAATTTATCAAAATCCAATATCAGAAACTTTGATAATTTACAGCAGGAATAAAAAATTTTCTTTACACCTTATATACATAACAAAAAATTATGTAAAAATTCTTAATCTCAAATTCAGTATTAAAAATTTGAATTTTACATTTTTCTTTCAATAATAGTTTTACTGAAAAATTATTAAAAACTCGGCGTAAAAAATTATGTCAGAAAAGTAATAATAAAACATTACTGTAAAAATATAGGAAAATTACTGTATAATAATAATAATAATAATAATAATAATAATAATAATAATAATAATAATAATAATAATAATAATAATAATAATAATAATAATAATAATAATAATAATAAATAATAAAAAGAATAATAATAAAAGTAATAATAACAGGCCTTGGATAGTTCGGCTTTTTCGAATTTTTTCCACTATTTTCAGAAAAGGTCCATTTTTATCGAATTATTTTCAAAAAATGCAACTTTTTAAACTTTTCTTCCAAATATTGCAACAAATTCCAACTTTTTTGGAACAAAATGCTAATTTACTTTGATTTTTACAGTGTACAAAATAATAAATTATAGTAAAATTTTTCAAAATTGTTTTTTGATTAATTTTTCTATAAATAAAGTTTTGAAATAGATTATTAAAAAGTTTTTAAATAATAGATATTTTGTATAGAATTTTATTAAAAATATTTCATTATGTTAAGTATTTCATAAAAATTTTTGATAATCAAATTTTCAAATATTTTAGTTGTAAATTTTTATTGCAAAGTTTTAAAACAATTGAATTCTCAAAAATTATAATAAAAAAATCAAAATGAAAATTTCTTAAAAAAATATATATTAAGAAATTATTTTAAAAAAGTAATTCTTAAAATTATTTTATTATAATTTTTTAAAATTAAATTATTTTAAATAATTTTTCAATTACATATTTCAAAAATTCAAAATATCTACAAAAAATTACATTAAAATTTTTCTAATAATCTAATCTTTTAGAATTATTATTAAAATTTTTAAGAAAACAAAATTATTTTCAAATTTTTTAATTAAAATTCTTTAACAAAAATGATTAGTTTTTTAAATTGTCTGAAAATTCTGTTAAGAAATTTAATTCCTATCTGAAAAAAACCTATTTAAATTTTTTATTTCAACGCAAAATTATTTAATTTTTGAATAATTGAATTAAAAAATTAGTGAAAGTCAGAAAAAAGCAAAATTGTTTTTTCTTGACAATAACTGAATAAAATATAGGACATTTAAAATTTTTTTTTGAATCTTTAATGAATTAAAGCGACTGTTTTTTGGTTTTAAAGTAGATCCGAAGTTTGTAATAGTAATAAAAAGAATAATTGCAAAAATAATAAAAATAAAAACAATAATAATAAATTTAATAAATAACTATATAATTTTAATAAAAAATGAAAAAACTAATATTTCAAATCAATATTTACATAACATAGTCGATAATTACATAAAAGTTAGAATTGTACAATCCTATAAAGCAATTTTAAAATAATTTGCATATTGGCACCTTTTCAAAGGTTACGCATAAATAAAACGATAAAAAGATTTTTAAACGAGTCTTGTTATGAAGAAATAACTTAAATATAAATCTATATAATTATTTAAATAAATAAATAGAAAATAAATATTGCTAATGGTATAAATAATAATCAAATACCTATTTCGAATTTCTTTAAATATTTTTTTCTAAATTCTACTATCATTGCTATTATTCTATTTCATTTACATTCTGATTCATATTTAAATTTCAACTTTTTTTTATCGATTTTGAAACATATATCTGTTTTATCATACGAATTTCAAAACAGCTCTATCTAGAATACCTTGAAAAAAATTTTGAACTAAATCACAATCGATTACTCTCGATACATCGACACTACAATATCGTTCTCGAATTTTCAAAAACTAATTAATAAATATAGAAAAAATGGATTAAAAAAATTAAAAATGATGTTTTTTTCAATTCAATAAAGTGCAAACAGAATTCTAAGTTAGAAAAAAAGAAAAATTCAACAAAAATAGTTTTCAATTTTCCTCAAAATTCAACAATGTCAAACCTTCATTTACCGCCATTTCAAGTATCGATTCTAATCGATCTGTCGAATGAAGAAATATCGAATTATATCTCTCTTGATAAAAAAAATAAAGGAAAAAAAAATAATAATACATTACCCACAATGTTCAGACAGAATCGACAAAATGTCAATGTTTAATTTGTTATAATTAGTTTCTTTCAAGTTTTTATCATATATATATATCACCTGTGATATTATTTATTAACGTGTTACACATACATAGAGAGGAAACGAGAAAGAGAAACGCTCAAAGTAATTAAAAAGTGAAAGAAAATTAAAAACAAAATAATGAAGTCATTTGTTGAATTTTTGCACCTACTGGTTTGCTCTAATTTTATAGAAAAATAAGTTACCAATTCTTCAACACTATAACTAATATTGTAAAATGATTAGCAGTCTTCAAGTTGCTTTAAAAAATGCTATTGACGTGGTGAGTGATGTCATTTCATTATGTCATTAAATAAAAACAAAACTAGCTATTTTATTTTACTTTATTTATTTAGAAGTAAAAATTTTATTTGAACGTTAATAGTGAAACGCTACCGTGTAATCAATTCAAAACAATTGTTTTTCAAGGTTTCGATATTCTAAGCAGAATTTAGCAATAACGATAAGAGTAAAAATAATAGTAATTAAAATTTTTACTATTGATATTGTTTATCTTATTATTATTACTATTATTGTTACTGTTACTATTATTATTATTCTTAAAATTAAAATTATAAATATTAATACGAAATTAGTAATAACGATGAAAGTAGAAATAATAATTGAAATTTTGCCTAATTTCTACTGTTTAGAAATAAAATATAAAATTAAAATATTATTCTTTTACTATTATTATTATTAGTAATATTATTATTATGAATAATTATAGTTTCGTAGGAATTAAATAATAACAAGAAGCAACTAAAAAGATGAAATAATAATTGTTTCTTTATTATTATTGTTCTTTTCGTCATTATTTTTTAACAATTAAATTTTTATTCGTTTCATTATATTTTTTATAATTTGCATTTTCAAGTGTTTTTTAATTTTCAAATTTTATATGTTCTACATTTTTTCGATATTCATCATCGTTCTCATTGTCATTTACATTTATCTGTCGATTATCATTCGTATTTTATTTTCCATTCATGTATTTATGTGTAAACACTTTTTTGTAAATAAACACTTTATTTTCTATTTCATTTGTCTTTTTGTTTTTATCCTATGTCATTTTAAACTAAAAAGAAAAGCATTTTTTATTTTTCCATTCATTCTATAATTTGTCATTATTTTTAAAAATTATTTTTTTTAATTTCTGTAAATTAAAGCATCAAACTAAAGTTATTTAATTTTTATTTTTTTTTATCTCAAGCATATTAAAATTAAAAGAAAAGCATTTTTTATTTTTTCCCCTTATTTGATAATTTGTCTTTTCATTTTCAATTTATTTTTTTCTATTTCTGAAAATTAAAGAATCCTGTCATCAAATTAAAAAGAAAAACATTTTTTATTTTTCCGTTCATTCGACAATTTGCCTTATTCTCAATACATTTTTTTTATTTTAATAATCCTGTCATTAAATTAAAAAGAAACCAATTTTTCATTTTTCCGTTCATTCGACAAATTTGTCTTGATTTTCAATATTTTTTTTTTCAATTTCTGTAAATTAAAGAATTTACGAAAACAAAACTCGTTAAAAATATTTTCATCGCGAAATAATAAGTTTAATTTTGTACAAATTACTTTTATACTTTAACTTTGAAATTCTAAACGATTTTCCTAAAGATTCAAATATTCAAATGACCACGATTTTCTTATATTTCCTTAAAATTTGAATTTTGTTAGGAAATATATTTTTGACAATTTAGAAAATTAATTCTTTTCTGTAAATGTTGAATTTATTTTATTTTTAATTTTAATCCAGTAATTATTGAAAATATTCTTTCATTTGAACGTTCAAAACCTTGGGAAAATTTTTATACTAAAATAAATAGAAACCTTGTAAATGATTACGAATTTCATATTTATTTTTCGTTGTCTTTCTTTCTTTGGAAAAGAAAGAAAAATGATCGATTTAAAGCTTTTTAGTAATATTTTTAAGAAATGTTAAGAAATTATCTCCAGTTTTGAAGGTTCAAGTGAAAGAAATTATTTATTTTTATTTCAAATTCAAATCATATTTAAATTTGCATCACGTCTTAGGAAATAATTAATTATAAAAAATTAATAAATAGATTTACAATTGAAATAATTACTTTTTGAAATTCAATTTAAAAATTTGTATCGAATTGGTTTCGATTTCTACTAAAGTGAGTAATTTTCGAAAATAATTACGCATTGTCAAAAATTTCATTCATTTGAACGCTCCAAATTTTTGTAATTTTTGAGAAATGTTAATTTAATTAAAAATTTTTGTTTTCAAATTTTTAAATTCAATTTAAAATCAAGAATTCAAAGGAAAAATTTGCAATTCATTCAAAACATGAAAAATCTAATCTTCATAAACTTCCTGTGACCTTAATAAATTACAGATAGTTCCACCGGCAACACCGTTTCAAGATTTCACTTATCATTGGAAGCAGCTCATGAATTTTTATGCGGATCATTTAACCGACACTAAAGTACCAATAGAATCGACAGGAATTCCACATCATTTAAATAGACTCCTGGAAATATTAATTCTCGAGGAGAAAACAAGAGAAGAGCCAGGCTCATGTTTGGAATATTTAATACAACACAAACTTCTCGATTTATTAGCAACATTAGCATGTGCCGAATCACCACCAGGAATGAGATTAGTCAGTCTCGCATTTTTTCGCAAACTATTAACAAGATCAAAATTCCCCCTTCTACATCATTCAGCAGTATTTATACCCATTCAAAGACTGATAGAAATTTGTGATGGTAATTTAGCCTCGCCAATTGAAAGTGAAGAAATTCAATTTCTCCTTGCACTTTGTTTTTTAATCTGCAAATATCCACACTGTACAAGTCTTGTCAATGAATCGAGCAATATTCGTAAGGAGAGTACAACAATTCACAATAATGAAACCGATAGAAATAAAATACAAAATATTACCTACGTTCCCGATAGGCGATGTAGTAATACAAATCCCCTATTTAAACCACTGAATACCCAAGCGATAACACTGGTGAATCCTGATTTATTTTCTGCCACTAGTGGAGCACGTTTGGTTCGTTATAAGAGAATCTCGAGAAATATTGAGAAGAATACACAGGAAACATTGGAGCACAGAAGAAATGATACACAAAATATTCCCACATGTTCGAATATATCTAGTCAATCGAATGAATCGCCGGAAAATATTTCACAATCATCGAGTCCAACTTCACAAAAATGTAGTTTCGACACGATTGGAAATAATTGTGATAGTCAAGATAATGAGAATTCAAGTAATGTACCTGATGATATAGAAGCAGCTTCTTGTGATATTGTAAACACTATTATAAATGACATCGAGAATGTCAAAATAAATTCTGACTCTAGGAGAAAGCATTCCCGTGAAGAGAACACTAATGTAGATAATTCTTTGAGTGATTTAGAAAATTCAAGTTCTAAGTGTCTACTTATTGACGCCCTCAAAAGTTACATTAACAGTGCTGTGAGTATTTTTCAAACAAAGTTGCTAGCAAAATTTTATTTTAATTATCCCTGACTTTTTTCCTGTTTTTCACATTTTCCCTAAACTTCTAAGGATTATTTTGTTCCACTCCAAAATTAATTAGACACACAAAAAAATTATGACCCTAAAGATAATCCACAAGTTTTAAAAGTTCAAACGAAATGAGGTCGAAGTCCGCAAAGTTTTTAAAAACGAAAAATTAAAAAAGAATTCTTAAAGTTTTTTTTAAGTTATCTTCAATTCAAAATAATTTTTAATATTCATGTTCGTAATTTTTCAGAACTGAATTGTTACTTAAAAGACAATTGTTCGAAAAATGAATCTAAAGCCAAAATAAAATAAATTTTCGAATTATTATTTTATTTTCGTTTTTAAAAACATTGTGAATATTTTCTAGGTTGACATAGGTCAAGGAAATTATAGAATTCAAGGGAAATAAAATTGGTCAAGGGAATCAGAGAAATGTCAGGGAATTTTACTAAAAGTACTGGAAAAATCATTAGATTTCTAGAATTGATAAAAAAAATTCTACTTTTTGGTGTTCAGAAACTTATTAAAATATTAGAAATATTTATAAAACTGAAGTTACGAACATTTATGTCAATGAAATTAAATATAAAAGTTTTTAATTTTTCAATAACTATCGTCTTTCCCGCATTGATTGGATTGAAAATCTCTTTACGATACAATGGGAATAATAATTAAGTTCCTTTTACAAAAAATTTTATGCTTCTTAGTCTTAAAAAAATTTCGTTTTGCCATAATAAAAAAATTTGGTAACTTTAGTTTCATAAATATTTAATTCTTCTTGAATTTTTTTTCGCTTTCAAATTTCTTCTTTTAAATAAATATTTAATTATTATTTTTCCACAAGAATTAAAACTCAAAAATTTTAAATTCAAAACGTTTTCAAATTTAATTATTTATTAAAACTGCAAACGAAATTCTTCTAAAATTCAATTATTTTATGAATTATGAAGTGAAATAATAAAATAATATAATATGATAAAAATAATTTTACGAAATTTTTTTAAGAATTAAATTATTTTAAATAAATTCAATTTTATATTCTGTTAAGTTCAATTATTGCCAGAAATTGAAATCAGGAATTTTAATACAAAATTTTTAATTTTTTTCTATTTCTGATAATAATTCAATTATACAGAATCTGAAATTAAATTTATTTTAAACGATTCAAGTCTTAAAAAATTTTCATAAAACTATTATTTATAAATTCTTCAGAGAATAATTTTACTTAAAAGTTTAAGAAATAATTGAGTTTTGAATGATTTCTGTTTGTAAATTTCTAGGAATAATTGAATTTCAATAGGTTCTAAATTTGAAATTTTTAAAAATTTTTAATTCTTATAGCAAAATAATAGGTAATATTGATTAAATATTTATTTTAAAAATTATTTTTTCAAAGGAAACAAAATTTTTAGAAATCTAAAACCATCTGAAATTTAATTAATTATAAAAATTGCGAATTCAATTATTTTTATTCGGAAATTTTAAGTAATTAAAAATTATTGTTCATAAATTATTTAACAAACAATTATTTGTTAAATAATTTTTGAACAATAATTTTATGAAAGAACTATAAAAATTAAAGTATTTGAAATTTAAATTAAATTCTACAGTCGGTAAAATTCAATTACTATTAGAATCTGAAATAAATTTAACGATTTAATTAAAATTTGTCTGAATTTCCAAATTTGTGAGATGAACAAACCAATTTAAGAAGAATGAAAGAATTTTACTATTTTCAATTATTGCTAGACACCAAAAAACAGAATTTTTTTACCAATTCTAGAAATGTATGTAATACTTTTTTCCAGTATTTCTGATAGTTTCTTGATTTTTTGCTGATTTCCCTGATTAATTGAAGATCCCAATCAAAAAACCGGTTGTAATCTTTTCAAGCTGAAAATCATTGTTATATCAAAAATAAAAAAGTTTTAAATCAAAAAAAGTTTAAAGTTTATAAAGTTTTTCGACGTTGGTGAAGTTCACAACGTTTATAACCAACAATTTATAAGAAAAAATTGTTATTAATTTATGGTTTAAAATGTTTTACATACTTTTTTGGTCAATAATTCAAAAAATAAAAATTTGAAAACAAAAAATGATGTTTTTCTCGTTAAAAAATATTTTTCTTTCTTTAAACGTTGTAAATTTCACTGACGTAATTTTTGAAAAAACATTTTTGTAATCTTTATACAAATACGAAATATTTACAAAGAAATTGAAATTTTAAACTTTTTTTTTATTCAGAGATCGAAAATCTTGAGTCTTAAAAAATTACCACCAGTTCTTTGATCCGGACCATCAATTTTACTTTTCCCGACTTTTTCCCATAATTTCCCGATTTTCTCGATCTGTGGCAACTCTGTCCAATTAATCCTCAATTTCTCAAAATCATCAATTTAAAAATTGTCTAAATTTTCAGGACAACACAGTGAGAATAAGAGCATGCGAGGGAATTATGGTATTGGCGTCTTTGGAAGAAACGTCCTTCATTAATTCGATAGCTCAAAGTGATCTTCCACTAGTTCTATCGAAACGTCTAGAAATTCTCTTCAATGCCATACCGGCCCACGTATTTCCCAATGAAATCGATGACGTCGAAGTAACCTGGGGTTTGGATTCACCACTTCTAACCAGTGAGAAAAAATTCCCCGGATGTCGTCGTGTGGCAGCATTTTTCATGTGGCTCGATTTTTGTGATCAATTGATAAAGGAGGCGCATCCAAAAATTGCTGAAATTGTCGCTAAAACAATAAGAATCGAATTTTTCGAAACAATTGTAACGCCTGCTCTCTCCGAGCATCATGTCGTGCTGGTGACATCCTTAATTACAAAATGCTTCAAGGAAATCACGTCCCTCTATTTAAGTCGTGGTAAATATTTAAATTAATATTACTGCTATATTCAGGGCTCGAAACAGTGAAAGTATTTAAAAATACGGATTTTATGGACCAAAAAAATGAAAAATTACGGACCAATTACTGACAAAAATATAATCAGTCCAAGTCAAATAAAAGAACATTTTTCTTAAAACTACAAATTAGATTTTTCATAACTATAAAACATGAAGATATCGATAACTCCAAGTCTTCGACTGAGAGTGATCGATTTCTTCATGTTTTATAACAATTAAAAATGATCGAGTGATAAAATCATGAACAATTCAATTAATATTTACAAGAATTTTTAACTAAAATTCTTCTTTAAATCGATTATTTTTAATAATTTTCGAAAAAGTTCTTTGACAATTTTCAAATCCATTTGTTTACAATATTCAATTTTACGAAATTTCAATTATTCGTAAAATCTTCAATTAATTAAATATTAGAAAATAAAAACTTGAAATAATTTTTAAAAATTTCGATTAAACTTTTTCAAAAAAATTAATTTCAAAATTCAATTATTTTAAAAAATTCACGCTATATTGCTTTTAATATTCAATTATTATCTAAAATTTTATCTAAAATTAATTTTTAAATCAATTTTTATTAGAAAATTCTACTAGACTTCAATTATTTAAATACAAAAATAAATAATTTATTGAATAATTAAATGTTTCTTAAAATTCAATTCCCATTACGAATCGTTATCGACAAATTTTCAAATGATTGAATTATATCAACGAATTTTAATAAAACTTTTTTAAAAAATTACATTTTTCGAGAATTTCTATTAAACTTGTATTAAAAATAATTGAAATTCTCCAATCAATTTTATTATTTGTAAAAATAATTGAATCCCTAAGAAGAATTTTATTAGTTTTTAACAATATTTTTTTTACAAAATTTCAATTATTCGTAAATTCTTCAATTAAATAAATATTAGAAAAGAAAAACTTAAAGTAATATTAAAAAAATTCAAGTAAACTTTTTTAAAAAAAATATTTTGAACTTCAAAAATTTTAAATTTTAATTGAATTTCAAAATTCAATTATTTATAAAAATTCACGCTATATTGCTTTTAATATTCAATTATTATCTAAAATCGATTTTTAAATCAATTTTTATTAGAAAATTCTACTAGAATTCAATTATTTAAATACAAAACTAGATATTTTATTAGATAATTAAATGTTTCTTAAAATTTAATTCTCTTAAAGAATCGTTATCAACAAATTTTCAAATAATTGAATTATATCAACGAATTTTAATAAATTTTTTAAAAATAATTACATTATTCGAGAAATTCAATTAAAATTGTAGGTATTAAAAAGTAATTAAAATTCCATACTGAGTTTTATTTTTTGTGAAAATAATTGAAACTCTAAGAAGAATTTATTAGTTTTGAACAAAATTTTTTTTACAAAATTTTAATTATTCGTAAATTCTTTAACAATTAAATATATATTAGAAAATAAAAGTTTTAAATAATTCCAAAAAACATCAGGAATTAAAGTTTATCAAAAAAATAAATTCCACAGAATTGTTAGTTAAAAATATGAAAAATCAAATTTTTAAAAAGTTTAATCTGAAACCTTTTCAAAATTCAATTATTTCTAAAAATTTACGTTCTAATGCTTTTAAAATTCAATTATAATCTAAAATCTTAACTATGAAATTCATTTTTAAATCAATGTTCATAAGAAAATTCTACTAAAATCCAATTATTTAAATACAAAAATATCAATTTATTGAATAATTGCATGTTTCTTAAAATTGAATCTCATAAAGAATTTTATCTATAAATTTTTAAATAACTGAATTCTTTTGACGAATTTTAATAAAATTTTTAAGAATATTTTCTAGGAATTTGATTAAAATTTTATTAAAAATAATTAAAATTCTGGAATGAGTTTTATATTATTTATGAAAATAATTAAATTCCTAAAAAGAATTTTATTATTTACGAAAATAATTGAATCCCCGTAAAAATTGTATTATTTATGAAAGTAATGGAATGATTGCGAAGAAATTTATAAAATATTTGTAAATAAAGAAATTCCTGTAAAATTTTTTATTATTTTTTGAAAATAATTAAAAGTTTGTGTAGAATTTTATTAAATTTTTTTTTAAATAATTGAATTCTTTAGGAAAATTTTTGAAAATAATTGAATTTCAGAGAAGAATTTAATTATTACTAAAGATAATTGAATTTTTTATGAGAATTTGAAAAAATTTTTGAACATAATTGAATTTCTGCGAAGAATTTTTTTACTTTTGAAAGTAATTGAATTTCTGCAATAATATGTAATTTCTCTAAAATTATCCAAATTAGAACTTTTCATCCTTTTTGAATCAAATTACGGACTTTACGGACCTTTTAAAAAAAACGGACTTTTACAGACTTGAATCAAATTTACGGACTCAGTTCGAGCTCTGTATACTCCTTAATATTTTCCTCAGCAAGAACTAAAAGTACCAAATTCCTCTTATTTATTTTTATTAAATTGTCTTATTAATCACGTCCCTCTATTTAAATCCTGGTAAATATTTTTCTGCTACATTCCGCAATATTTTCCTCAGCAAAAACTAAAAGTAAAAGATTAACATTATTAGTTTTTCTTAGTCGATTTTTTTAGTAATTACCTATGTCTGCAATATTCTGCAAAATTCCTCTGAAAAAACTAAAAGAAAAAGATTTCTATTTTTTATCAATTACTTCCCTCTATTTAAATCGTGGTAAATATTGACTGCATTCTGCAATATCCTTCAGCAAAAGCTAAAAGTAAAAGTTTTCTATTAGTTTTGTTGTTGTTGTTGTAAATTTGAGTCTAAAATTATAACTTATCCGAACTACTAATTAAAATTCCTTTACAGAATTGAGTTTTTGGCTGGTTGGACAACACAGAAATCCCGATATTCCGAATGTTTGGTCATGGCCAGTATTGCATAGATTAATTGACAATTGCTGCACGGACAGTGATGACTTGACAGTAGAGACATTGAAATTATTCGAGGAGATGATTGAGAAAAGAGACGAGCATATACTACATTGTCTTGTATTAACGTACTTAACGAATCGAGGATACTATGATAATAGTGCCGCGGATAGTGCAATTGCTTCTTGGAGTGATGAAGAGGACGAGCGAGAGAGAGAAAAGAAGAGTGCACTCGATTTATCAAGTGGAATAAATCATAGTCGAACTCTGGCACCGAGCAATATTCACAGAATTCTCAATTGGTAATTTATTCTCCTAACGAGATAGAATTTTAATTTCATCACAAAGTATTCCGAATTCTGATTTTTCTTTTTTTTTTTGCTTTTAGCTTCTTGTCTTTGATACCGAGACAACTACAAACGGATTTCGAGGCGAATCGATACGAGCGTTACATGCTTGATTGGGAAAAGCAATATTCATTAGTATTTGCAGATTGTGCTCTATTTGCCTGGCCTTTGGAAGCAGTGACTGTGGACGATTCTGCAAGTTCTGATTCGCGACCAGAAGCTGATCATTGTTCGACTAGATTTTATATGGGCCCATTTTTATCAATGCTTTTGGAGAAAGTCAGCAATATTCCTAATCAAAAACACGATATCAATTTACAGTTAACTATTGTGATATCTAAATTAGCACTCTTACCTCATCCATATTTACACGAGTTTCTTTTGAATCCACTGATACCATTGACAATTGGAAAACGAAGTTTGTTTATTTGCCTACAAAGAGTTGTCAAGCACTTGATGAGTGAAGTGCAAAAAACTCCTAATTACAAGCAACTTCTCAAAGAGACTAGACACAGACTGTTTGAAGATACCACCATCGATCCGTACGTATCATAATCAACAGGGTTGTTACAAAAATTTAATTTTGTTTTTCCCTGACTTCTCCCTGATTTCCAGATAAAATTTTCCCTTTTTTCTTGACCCTAAAGAATATTCTGATTCACTCTAAAAATTATTAGATACTCAAAAAAATGTTCTATTAGATTTATTTACAAATTTCTTTAATTAAGAATATTGTTACTGTAATTTCTTCAAAATTATTTTTATCCCTTTATAATTCAATGATTATTTTCTATCATTTTTAACTAAAGTTCTTCTTTAAATCAATTATTTTTAATCATTTTTGATAAAGTTCTTTTGAGAATTTTCAAATTAATTTGTTTATAATTCCATTTTACGAAATTTTGATTATTCGGAAATTCTTCAATTTAATATACATTAGACAATGAAAAGTTGAAATAATATTAAAAAATTTTGACTAAGCTATTTGAAAAAAATTAGTTTCATAGAATTTTTAACTTAAAGTATGAAAAATTTAGATTTTCAAAGATTTTAATTTGAAATCTTCTCCAAAATTCAATTATAATCCAAAACTTTAAGTTAAATTAATTTTTAAATCAATTTTTATTAGAAAATTCTACGAGAATCCAATTATTTAAATACAAAAATAAATAATTTATTGAATAATTCAATGTTTCTTAAAATCTAATTCTCATAAAGAATTTGATTAACAAATCTTTAAATAATTGAATTCTTTCGGCGAATTTTAATAAAAATTTTAAGAATAATTATATTTTTTGAGGAATTCCGATTAGAATTGTATTAAAAATAATTGAAATTCTGCAATTAATTTTATTATTTATGAAAATAATTGAATTATTGCAAAGAATTTCATAAAAAAAAGTTCCAAACGATTGACTTTTACAGAAAAAATTATGCAAATTCTGTTTTTAATAATTGAATGCCTGTGAAATTTTTATTATTTCAGAAAATAATTGAATATTTTCTAAATATTGTTTTTAAATAATTAAATTCTTTTAGGAAATTTTAATAAATTTATAAACATACAAATTATTGAATTAAGAAAAATTTTTTAAAACAATTTGATATTGTTATTTATGAAAATGATTGAGTTTCTCCGAATGATTTTATTATTTATGAAAATAATTGAATCCCTAAAACGAATTTTAAAATTTATAAATATAATCAAATTACTGCGAAGAATTTAGTGCCAAATATTAAAACATTTGGAATTTTCGAAAAAATTTATGCAAATTCTGTTTTGAATAATTAAATTCATGTAAAATTTTTATTTTTTTGGACATAATTTAATGTTTTTGTAGAATTTTATAAAAAATTTTGTTTAATAATCGAATTCTTTTGGAAAATTTGATTAAAATAGTAGAATATTGAAAATTATTGAATTAGGAAAGTTTTCTTAAATAATTGAAATTTTGCCATAAATTTTTGAAAATAATTGAATTTTGCAATGAATTTTATTAAAATTCCTGAAAATAATTGAATTTTGTTGAAGAATTTCGCTATTCATTTATAATGATAATTGAAATGATGACAAATTTTTTTAGATTTTTCAAAAATAATTGAATTTCGGTGAAGAATTTTATTAAATTTGAAAATAATTGAATTCTTGTGATGAATTTTAATAAAATTCCTGAATATAAATTAATTTTGGTAAAGAATTTTCCTATTTATAAAGTTAATTGAAATGTTGACGAGAATTTTTTAAAAAAATTTTGAAAATAATTGATTTTCTAGAAAGAATTTTGATATTTATTAATAATAATAAAAAAATTACTGAAGACATTAAGTTTTTGTTTAATAAAAAAATCATATTTATTCTTTTTCCAGGGCCAAAGAAAATATTCTATTTGAAAGTGTGATTATAATGGAAGAATTCTGCAAAGAACTTGCAGCTATAGCCTATGTCAAATATCATCATTCCTTGCCAATCAAATGTTGACTTAATGTTAAATATAGTTAGTATTAAAAATATACCTATAACGAAGAATATTTTAGTCTAAGAACTTGTAAGTATTTCACAATTTTACTTAGAAATTGTAATAAGCATTTCATTGTAATCTTTCATAAAAAGATCATATAGATATTTTTCATAATAGAAATTATAAAGTAAGATTTAAAAGAAAATTACACATTTTTGTGCACAATTTCGTTACTGTAAATAAAAACTTAAAAATCTAAACCGCAAGTAACAATACTTTCGATTTTTAATATATACCTTGCGTTTGATTGTTTGTTTAAAACCAAAAAGGTTTAAAAACATCAAAACAAGAACAAAAAAGTGAGGTTATCTATAATAACGAAAATTGCCAATTCATTGAAAAATGAATAAAATAGTAATAAATTTACCTTGTTGAACTTTTTAAACATGTATAATGTAATTCAATATCCATATTTAAAATCCTGATAATTGACAAAACTGACAAAACGAAAACAATCTCGTCTTTGAGGTTAGGTTTCTAGTTTTCTACTTTAGCCACAAAGTGCGTGTAGCTCCAGATGGAAAATTCAATAAATTGTCATGTAAATGAACTGGCGAGGAATATATTCAATGAATTAACTAATTTAGACAGAAATACTTTTAGTATTATTAGAATAAACTGTGAAAAATTGTCAAAGAACGGAGAACTATGTTTTCTCACCAACCGTCAGGTCTGGAATGCCTGCGTTCCAAAAGGCATCGACAATTTGCCACCAAAAGGTATTTTAGAATACTATGTGAAAAATAAAAATGCAAATGGAAATTGTTCAACATATGATGAAATTGTACAAAAAGTGAGTAATTTTTGTCTAAATTGTTATAAATAAATTAGCAAAAATATCGTATCAAGAGGAAAATACTAGAGTGACATAACCTCATTTTTTCGGAGCGAATCGAACAAATTCATCAAATTTAACACTTTCAAGCCTTTCAAGCAAAAGATTATTAAAAGCATTTCAATCTTCTAAAAAAGTAAATTTAAGGTAATTGATTTAAATATATAAATGACAATTGTACTATTTTTTACCTTTCAAAAGAATTTAAAGCTTTGAACTTTTGTGTCGCAACTCTTGCACACAAGGTTAGTTTCCTGGTTTTTCCGATTTTCCAAAAAGTATTTTCAAAATTGTTTTCTACAAAAATTTTAAGTCTATGTAAACATAATGAATTTGTTCAACTATTTTTTAGCTTAAAAATTAAAGTATTTGTTCTGATAAATTTAGAAGGAACGAAAATATCAATGAAAATGAAAATAATCTGTAGAATTAATCAACTTGTGAATAAATATTATATTTATTCACAAGTTGATTAATTCTACAGATTATTTTCACGAGAAAAAATTCATAGCACAAAGAAAAGTATAAAATTTGTTTGCTTATTTAAAATAACTTTAAAAATCCAAATAATACACTGACATTTTACTAATTATTTTTCCTTTTCCAGGCCTTCAGTTTACTAGAAGCAAAATCCCAAGAATGGTCTCTACAAATAAATTCCTTTTCCCTACAAAACGAAAGATTATGTCTATTTCTAAACAGAACACAAGCATTATCATTGGCAATAAAAAATGCCATAAACAATGGTTTTTTATATGGTCAAAAGGCATTGGGTGACGAAAGTTATACATTCCGAATTCAAGTCGACGATGAATCAGAATTATCTAATCAACGATTGTATTTTTTGAAGGAATTTTTCGAAAATATTTTAAAACTACAAGGATATAGAATTTCCACGGAGAAAAGTGATAACAATTATATTTTAACGACAAAATCCGAGGGTATTATTAAGGAAAATTATAAAAAAATCGTCTGCGGTGTTGTTAAAAATCCAGAAAATAAATCCAAAGAGAAATGTACAACGTGGAATTCCTATTTGACTGGTAAAAAGGAAGAATTAAAAAAATTGAATTCTCACAAATACCAGAATGACGATAAGGAGGAAGACGATGAGGAGAATATAAAACAAATTGCAACGATAGGAGTGAAATTTGCATTTTTATCAGTGAAACCTAGTCGTTGTGTACTTTTGAAAAAATTCCAAACTTCGGATGATACAATGAAAGGTATTTTTTCATTTTACTGATAATATAAAATTTGAAGTCTGGAAAAATACTGAACGTTCACATAAGTTTATTTATTAGTCAATAAATAATTAAGAATATTTTCGAATAATTTCAAATTAAAAAAATTGTTTTTAACTGGAAACAGATTTTTTTTGTCATGGAAAGTTTAAATATTGATTAAATAAATATTACGACATTTAAATTTTAAATTAAACTCTTGAATAAGAATATGAATTTTAATACTAATTTTCGCAATTAATAATATTAATTCCTCTTATTTTATATAATAATTTCGTCATAAAATATTTCTAACAAAATAGAAAATTTGAAATTGAAAACAAATGCACGTTTCTAAAATTTCCAACGTTCAAATAATATTTTTTTACTTCTCTTAATTTAAAAAAAAAATATGTTTTATATTAATTAAATTTTGGTAGTAATTTCTAAAAATATTTAAGCGGAAAAAAATCATTCACTTGAATGTTAAAAACTTTAGAAAAATACCTACAAATACGAATTTTTAACAAAGTGGATGAAACAGAAAATTTTTAACATGAACGTTCAGAATATTCAGGAACAACAATTTTTTTCTAATCTACAATTTCAATATTATTTTTCAGAGGCAGCTTTTATTCTCTACAATACTGCAAGAATAAAGGCAATTTTAAATAAATACGAAGAGAAAGTTATCGATGCAAAATATCCAAAACTTCTAAACATCGACGATATTGATTTTTCCTGCCTTTCTCAAGAGGTGACAATTTTTTAATATTAATATAACGAAAAAAATTTACATAAACACTGCACTGAACAAAATTTATTTAATTCAAATAACCGCTTACTTGTCTATTATCAAATAAATATAATATCAAATAATTTTGATTTAAATCAAATTATTTCAATCAATAATTTCAATATTTAAAGCAAATACTATTTAATTGATTTAAATGAAAATTATTTGATATTATATTTATTTGATAATAGACAAATAATCGGTTTTAATATATAAATATTTTTGAATTTTAATCATATAAATATTTTTTTAGTGTATTTGTAATTCAATTAAATCAATTAAATTAATGATTTAATTTAATGAAAATTTATTTTAATCAATTAAATAATTTTTCATTTTTGCAGGAAGAATGGGAATTAGTTTTTAATTATATTCTACAATATCCTGAGATGGTGATGGGCTGTGTTAAACAAAAACCATCTTTAGAAGCGTGTCCACAATATATTTGCTCCTTTTTGAGCAGACTTTGTCAACATTTTAGTGTGTATTATAGACGAAGTCGTGTTCTAGTTGTAAGTATCGAATAATTTATAAAAATATTATTTCAGATGATTTTTTATTTAAAAAACTTTGGTTTGCAACTATTTTTTACGCCAAGGGAATTTTGTTCTCAAAATCAAAACAGTCAGTAAGTAAATTATTTTTCTGTGATATGAATTCAAAAAAAAATTCTTTTCCTGTAATTTTCAAATTTAGACCAAGTTTTTTAAGCAACAATCATCTCAAAAAAATTTCACTCCAAATTTCAAAATTCTAATAAAACTAAAATTTTTTTCAGGACGGCTATAGTCATTTAATGCCAACGGTGATGGCGAGAATTTATTTACTACGAAGTTTACTTATTGTTTTAGAAAATTCACTGTCTATTTTTGGCATAACTCCTATGTCAAAAATGTAGAATTGCCTTCGTAAAAATAGAAATGTAAATTTATCTATTTTACCCTTTATAAAGGGTAAATTTTTTTTCATATTGAAAAAAGGTCCATTTACATAAAATTTATATATTTTTTTTACGCGATTTATAGAGATAAAAAAAGATTATTGCAATTATAAAAAAAAATTCTCGTAGTCATATATTTTGTTTCAAAATTATAAAGAAAAAAAAATGTAAACGTCAAATCTATTTAAAAAACCAATAAATTGCGAATACTAAAAAAAATAATGATTCAATAGAAAATTTATAATTACATGTTTTTTAATTCTGGTGACTAGCTGTCTGTTTCGCCAGCATTAAAAAGACTTCTTATCGCAACTGATAACATTGCGAATTAATTCATCGCGCTATGTATAGTTCGGTTTATACATGTTTTCATGAATTTAAAATCACAATATTTATGAGTCGTCTGCCAGGCAGACATTCTTTGCCTGTCGCATCGAAAAAAAAACTTAAGTTCATTCTTTTGTCGAGCGAAAAAATTCTATATAGTCTATAATAATGTACTTTAATTAATGAATTTTTCCTCTTAAAGGAAAATAAAATTCTCAAGTTTCCTTTTGAATGGAAAACTCATTAAAGAAGAATAATCTATTTATAAATATTGAAAAAGAAAAAATATTTCCTTGCAAGAATACAAAAAGAGGAATTTAATCAATTATAAGTGCAGATAAATTAAAAAAGTGACGACTAATTACAACACAGTACGAAAATGAAATAGAAAGAAAAAATGTCTAATACCGCTCGTAATTCTTGTGCAACAGATAAGAAATTTCTTTACTTTTAAAAAAATGTTTAAAATTTAAAAACTAAATAGTCTCACTTTTTGGAATTGTTCAAAAAAGTTATAAAAAATGTAGTTTAATTTTTCAGAAATTGAGAAATATTCGAAAAGAGAGAAAAGCAATAATTTTTTCTCTAGAAACAATATTGAATAGAACAGAATTTTGTTCAATTTAAATAAATAAATTACCTGTAACGAGAACTTAATTGAGATTTTCCATCTTTCCTTTTTCCCTCAATGCCACATCCGGTGAATAAGTCAACATTTAATTGTCTACCTTTGACAAAAAAGATTTATCAAAATTAGTTTACATTTATTTCTCTTCTAATTTTTGAAACATTGTATAAAATTGCGAAATACTGTCCAGGAACAACAAAATCGGAAAATTTTAGGTTATATTTCATGCAGTTTAGAAATTTTATATATGTATATAGATATATATTTGCATGTGTATAAAATAAGAATAACGGAAAATTGTTAAGAAACAAATAATTAGAAAAAGGTGTGAAAATAAAGATATACTTACAATTTGATCAAAAAATATTCATTGCCTCTTCTCATTGTCATAAATTAGCGAAATTTCGCTTCCAATAATTAAAATCCTACACACTTGTTAGTCTATATGAACGTTGTGAACATGTGAACAAATACGGGACAAAATTTAACAATGACTTTCCCTCCGAAAAAACAAAATAAAAACCATAACCTCAAAATGTTTATACCAAAAAAACACGTTGTGAAGCAAATTTATATCGTTATAAAAAACAATTTACATAGTTTATTTTCAAAGCACGTTTATACCGAAATCAAAGAGTTATAGAATTTGAGACAAGCAAAACAATGGCAAACGAATGTAATAAGAGGCAGCTGTTTGTTTTGTTTTCAAGCATGAGATTCACGTGACACGGTCACGGCCGGCGCTGGTGGCGCCACCAACGGCAATAAAGAAACGAGCATTTCTATTGGTTAATGCAATGCACTCGCGCACTGGACAACCAATCAGCGTTTGGTTTACTGGCAATTCTCACTGCTTCCACAGTGCAGTCGTTTGACTGGTTTGACATCGATAAATGCGTGAGAGTGTTCGCGAAGTGCGGAGGTGTAGGTTGTTGTTCGTCGTAGTCGTCGGCTTGTCGGCTCGTCGTCGTCGGTTACTTTTTCATCTAATTATTATTTAATTATCATAATAGTCAAGTGTTCAAGTGTAGTTTTAACAAAACGGCTCTTGCCTTTTTATAATTTCAACCTTGTAAACCAGGCAAGGTTACGCTACTCCTGTCGCTCTGCGTTCGATGACCGAATGTAAAAGGAGAACCTTTCCCGTGTAAAATATCGAGCTCGCTTCTAAATTGCCAAGCCAAGGCTCGCAGAATTTATAAATTCTATATCCCGAACCTGAATCTGAGATCGTGCTACTAAGAAAACACGGGGGATATATTTTTTTTTTTGTAATATATATTCGTGTGTATAATAACATCTACCCCGTGCTTCTTGACGTTTACTCACACATTTTTCCATCGAATGCAGTTGAACGCGCACGCAGCCACGCGCACACACGTTTCCTACGCATACAAAGACCACTAGACCAGTCGGCGAGCACGCAGTCGAACGGTCGCCTGACTTCTGTAGACCTGTTTTTTTCTCCGCGCTTAAATCACGCGTTTCTCTGATCTCCGAGTTTGGTGCGAGTATTTTATTGCTCTGTATATTTTAGTGTTTCGTGGAGGTGATTTCAGTGATATCGTGTTCTCCTGTGTGTGTTTGTGTGTGTAAAAGAGCCACACGCGTATTTTCAGGTTAAAGAGCCCAGTAGTCCTCAAGTGTGGTTTTTATAACAATAAGAGTTCAGTCCCCCAATCTACATTAAAGAGAGAAAAATAAAATCACCATCATCAACTTGTGTTCGAAGCTAAAAAATTCTCAATTTCCAAAGTCCTGTGCGCAACAACAATCACGCGCCTCTGACGCAAGCCCGACGGACGGCGGTGTATTCCCATTCCAGGTGTCCAATTAGTAAATTAGGGGACGAAAATTGCTCTCGCTGACCCGGTAATCAAGGTTAAACTCGCGTAACGGTGAGACCCCCCCCCTGACCAACTATAACCTCAAAGAAAGAACAAAGGCGCATATTGTTTCTGCTTTGGAGTATAGTAGTTCTTTTTCCATGAGTACATAAATTGGAGTTGGAGTGACGGGAGAAAAAGCTAAAGGCACACGAGAAAAAGAGAGAGGGAGAGTGAGATCGAGTTTTTTGTTTGCGGCGTAGAAACCAACGAGTGAGCGCGCGCGCGGTGTAACGTCACAAATTTGAAAAAAAAAGAAAATAAATAAATTGAAAAAAGAGGTGGGGACTTTTCAAAAAAGGCGCGAAAAGAACCCCGTGAACAAATGTCACGCAAGGTGCAATAAAAAGGAGAGGAATAAAAAACACACCACTTCGTGACACGTGCAATTTTCTTCCAATCCAATCCCAACTAGTCAGGGAAAGAAAATCAATGTCAATTTCATGTTGAAGTGGGTTATAGTCACGCGTTTGCAAGTAATGTATAATTGTGTGCGTAAGCATCCCCTAAAATCGTCGGTCGTCGAATCGCTTGGCAGGCGTGGAGTAGCCGTGTTCTCTGGTGATTACATTTAAAAAGTGTTTCATTTCTGTCAAAAATAGTTTTTGGTTTCGTGATACGTGATCAGTGAAAACGTGCAAGAAAAAAAAAAGTGGTGGAACAGTGAAAAAAAGAAAGAAACAAACAAAATTTTGTTTTTCAACGACGAAAAATTGTGGAGAAGAAGAAGACAAAGAACGTACTGTCAAGAAGAAGAGAGAAAAAAAGTTTTAAATTGGAAAATTTACAAGTATCCTTGAAGTGTGCGTGGGATAAATTAGTGTGCGTAATTGCTTCATTATTACAACTGAGGAAGGAAAAAAATCAACTCTCTTGTCCAAATTGTAACGCACAATAATAACAACAACAACAAGAAACAAAACAAGTTAAATTGTGATTGATTTCGAGTCCTCAATTTTTGAGCGCTTCCACATTTATCCAGAGTAGTTACAAGGGGGCTTGTAGAGGGAAAGGAAAATTTACTACAAATCAGGAAAATATGAGCATTGCTGCCCTTCTGCAAGCCGCTGAGTACATTGAACGAAGGGAACGAGGTAAGTTTTCGCCATGTGCGACGAGTGTATGCGCATGTGTAATTATGAACATACGTGTGTCTGAAACGCCGACAACTTTGGTATAAAAGGGGCGATGTAAAACCTTCTCAAACCACATTCTTTCGCATAAACTCTTTTCTCTTCACATCTTAAATATCCTTGCGGAGAGTAAAATTTTTTATTATCCATTTTCGGGGAGAAAATAAATATATATCAAAAAATTGAGATGAAAATTTTTATTTTCAAAAATTGTTTTTAAAGTGTACTACCCTTCTCTTGTTGTTGAGAGGTAGTACTTTAACACGTGACCTGTTTTCATGCCTGATACACGGTACAAGTTTTTAAGCCTGTTGATGTTGAACTGAGAAGTTTTTTTATTCAATCTGATTCTCAATTTTTTCTTCTTCTTCTTGATGTTAATTTTTATTACACTCTGACTTTCTCATTTCATCATTAGGATATTGTATTTAATATACGTTTCTAGCTGTTACTAAGGGAAGGCATTGTCCCCCAAGCACGCAAAAACAACAGTTGGCCTGGGTGTATTACTTACATGTATTATGAATTCCCACGCAATGCATAATATTATAAACTGAACTCTATAGTGCCACATGCAAACAACAAATCAACAACAAAATGATAGTTAAAACTTTGCGCACCAATGTTGACATTTGTTTTTGGCATTGTAACTTGATTGTTTTGCGGTGTATAAAGTTATAGTGTTGCGGTCATTTTGGGAATTTAATCCCAAATGAGATTATCCGAGATTCGTCAGTGCAGTGATACATAAAATCCTGAAGAGATGATAATTCAGATGCTATGTTGACCAAGATTTCGAGTTAATCCGAATCGGATAAGAAGCAAGAAGAGAGAAATAGAGATAGAGGATTAAACATATGGTCTGAAATAATACACTGAAGAGGAATTCTTATTTTAAGACAGTCAATTGATTTTCTAATTTCATTTTTAGTGCGCATTTATCTTGAATTTAACATAGGGGTTAAAGTTAAATTATTACCTAAA